GAAGTAGGGTGGTTGCTGCTATCAGCAAAAACCATGCTGTCCCCCTGGGTAGAGTGCCATGGCATTACAGCTCACAGCAACCTCCAACTCCTGGGCTCAAGCGAGTCTCCTGCCTCCACCTCCCAAGGAGCTGGGACCACAGGCGCCTGCTGCAACGCCTGGCTATTTTTTGGTTGCAGCCATCATTGTTGTTTGGCGGGTCCAGGTTGGGGATTCGAACCCGCCACCTTAGGTGTACGTGGCTGGTGCCGAAGCAATGTATTTTTAAGGTGAAAAACCTACCTCAGTTCTACGTGGTTTATGTTTTCTGGATTAATCTGGATTTTTATAATTAGAAATTAAAATATAAAAATTTTGAGCCTGCTTAGTACTTTGCTGAAAACAATACAAGTCAATGTAATAGAAGGATCCATATGTTTAGCAGTGTAAGACAAAATAGCAAAGACCTTGGAATTGAGAATTGATCTAATGTCCTGGACAATATTCATCTGTCTTTGTTTCTTTCTTTCTGTCTTTTTTGGTTGAGGGGGGGGTTTGGAGGGGTAGTTTATAATTTTGAGTTGTTGACTAGGAAGTTCCGTGCATTGTTGGCACTTTTTAAATAAGTTGATGATTTTGTTAGTAACCTGTTACAGAAATAACATTTTGATTCTAAAAATATAAGGAACCAAACACACCTGCTTTTCATTAGAGGGAGTATATTAATTAAGAAAGAACTAGCATTCCGGAATCAGAACTTCAAAATAACATGTTAAAGTGAATACTAAATATTTTCATATTTTATCTGAACATATTCTGACTTGTAAACATGAAGCTTGACTTTTGCAAGGAACTGTGTTCTCATAAATAAACGACATCGCACTGATTAAGATTATAAGTTGTATTATTTATCTCAGAATGCTTTCTTCTGTTGTGCCATTAAACTGAAAGCACGGTACTAACAGACAACAAACAGTTTGTCTATCTGGTACGTCTACAAAGGCACCCCTCCCATGCTGTTTCTCCTTATGTATAGAGGTTGGGTATTTCATTCTCAGTTTAAAAACTTACTCCATTACCCAAGAAAACTTCAGCCCCAATTGTTTTAATTTACTGAGCTAAGATTTCATAGCATGTTGATTTCATATACTTATCACCTCCCAGGTAATTACGTGTATATAAGAGGAATGTACATGAGAGGTGCATTAAATTTTTATGTTTATTTCAGCAAGTATTTATTAGTCAACTGGATATACTATTCGAGGTTTTACAGAAATTTTAAATTAATAGACATGGATCAACCTTCCATTGAGCAGTGTACAGACTATATAGCATATGTCAGTAGCACAGAGTACACACTTAGCATCATCCTGTCTAATCTGAGAAGTGCGCACAAAAGTACTTCTCTGTGTTAATTATCTAGCCATTGTCTTTTAGATCTAGTTGATAGGTACTATTCGATTTGCTACAGCATTTACTGTTTTTTTTCTTTTCTTTCTTTTTTTGTTTTTGAGACAGTCTCAAGCTGTCACCTTGGGTAGAGTGCTGTGGCATCATAGCTCACAGCAACCTCCACCTCTTGGGCTCAAGCAATTGTCTTGTCTCAGTTTTTCTATTTTTAGTAGAGATGGGGTCTCACTTTTGCTCAGACTGGTCTGGAACTCATGAGCTCAAGCAGTCCACCTGCCTCGGCCTCCCAGAGTGTTAGGATTACAGGTATGAGCCACCATGCCCAGCCAACCTACAGCATTTACTGAAAAATGGAGTGAATATTGAGAAGTGTCTTACTACTTTTTAAAAGATAATTATGCATTAGGAAAAGAACATTTTTAGAAAATTTATACAGATGGCAGTAATGAAGTGAAAAGAGTTGAATTCAATGAAGTAAATTGAATTCAAGAATTCAATTCCAGTGTATGCCACATATGCCAAATTGTTGTTGATATTTCAGTATGATTTCAAGTTAGTATTTCTGTATACATTATTGATTACTGGTTTGCTATTAGGTATTTAAGACTGTTCTGATCTACAGTTCACATATTGGCAGTTGCTCTAGGGGCGAAGGTGTGATAGATACTGATGAAGTGCCTGTGTTTTGATTTCCCCTCTGGATAGTAAATAGGGATACTTTCTCCGTGGCTTTGTTTCTTGTAAGATTTGACTGTGCAATTCAAGGTTTTTATTCTTGTGTTTTTCGTCTAAATGTGAGAAGTAGGGTGGTTG